ATTGTTAAGTTTGTCTCATTAAGCATATATTGTAAGTGTTCTAGATATGATATGGAATAATGTTTATCCATTAATGTTCCTCCAATTCAGAAAGGGGACAAGTTTAGCATTATGTAATGCCCATAAGAGTGAATTGGAATATTAACAGTACAATGAGAATTCATTAGATCTTAGGACTTGGTGTTTAAGTTTTATTGCCACGCCGCTAAGAATTTATGTTGATATCGCAATTGTCCTTTTCTCCAAGAATGACAAGTGTTCTAAGAGTGCTAAACATAGTGGAATTAAATATCTTGTCATTAAGGAGGTTTAGAAACAAAGAGTGTCTATAAAGACAAAACTTATGCTTGCAAACCAAGTAAAGGTTCTGGCCAAAGACATTAATAGTTATATTGAGAGGACTGTTCTTGATCATAAACCATGATAGTATTTATGATGTTGTGGTTTGCATAATGACAGTTTATTTATTTTGACACTCTGAGCTCAATAATTGAATATGTTTCTGTTATATCCTGTTTTCCCTTATATGTATACATGAATGAGATTGGATGAATGATAACAGGAGTAGTCTCTGACAAAGACATTATTGGACCTTTTATGATACTTCTCACTTATGGACTGTTTTAGGCGATTTGCTAATGTTGTGGTACATGGAAGGGACTGTATCGCTTATTGATGCATAACCGCCATGACTCGCATTAGACAATTGCTTAAATGCGGTATTTATGTCGACCATATGAAAGTGAGAATTATTCTGAATGTATCACGCGCCTAATGTTTATTTATTAAACCATAAAGTAAATTTATCATATGGGCCAAGTGAGAGAATGTAAGAATATTTTATAAATATTCTGTGTGGCCCACATTAAGTGACCTATGTGGTAAATAAATTGTTCAATTGGTTTAATAAATATTATTCAGAATAATTATATTGATCAAATAAAGAGAAATAGTTTCCTATTATTACCGTGATGGGTGGTAATTGATTATGGGCTTCACTAGGAAACGGGTCCTCTCTCTGCCTATAATAGTGCACATACCTATCTTATGTGTACGCTGATGAAGACGCGTATTAGGGTTTTCTAAACGTGCAAAAGGCTAGAGAGAGAAATCTATTTCCTCCACAATGACGGCTCGCCTACGGATCGCTCAAGGCAAATATCTTGATATATGGTAGAAGACTAATTATTCAAGGTATGTATGTAATTTAAGTCTAATTGAATTTCCGCCTAATGTTATTGCGAAAATCATGAAGTTCAAGATCTCGGGTCATGTATTGGGTTCTTATGGTTTTACCCAATATTAAGTTTACAACAAGGTTACTAAAGATATCATATACGAAATCTTGCTAAGGTTGCCTGTCAGATCTCTACTTCGGTTCACGGCAGTGTGTAAGTCATGGAATTGTATGATCAAAAGCTCTACTTTCATCACCCAGCATCTCATTCAAAACGAAGACGTTCAACTCCTCCTTACCCTCAATATGGGATGTACTTATTGTACAAGGATGACGACAACGACGATGGCCGTTCATCATCTACGCTTAGAGAGTATACCAATCTTGACAATCCGTACGATCTTTACGACGGAAGGGTCTCGTGTGCCTTGCTGCGGAAGACATTGACTCTACCGCATTAGTTTGGAACCCTAGCATCAGAAAGTTTGTGGTTTTGCCTAAGTCTGGTGTTACCTTTTGTCATGAATATGATTATCTAGAAGCAAGTTGTGGCTTTGGCTACGACAGGAGTGCCAATGACTATAAGGTCTTACGAAGAGTGTCTTCTTTTCGAGAAAACAAATTTATCTCATGTCAATATGAGATCTGGTCGTTAGCCAAGGGCTCTTGGAAGACTCTCAATACTGCTTCTGATCCTGAGGAAAGTGACATTATGCTCCGGCCCCGGCACTTTTTTGTTAATAATCCGCCTGCTTTTGTCAATGGGGCTCTGCATTGGACTCAAATCAGAGCGAACACCGGGAACATTTCACTTCTGTCATTTGATATGTCCGATGAAGTATTCGGCAAGATAGCAATACCACCAGAAGCTTCAGCACAAACAATTGACCATCTTGCTGAAGGACATTTCATGGTTTCAAGGTACAGAGAGTCCCTTGCATATTATGAAACCTCTCGGGAGCGGAAAGGAAGTGTTGGTTGGGGCCTTCTTCACATTCACACGTGGGTGATGGAAGAGTATGGTGTGGCCAAATCATGGGCTAAACTATTTGCAATATGCCTGGATCTAGATCTAGGCGTTTCTAGACTGATTGGTTGTAGAAAAAGTGGTGAAGTTGTTCTCAGAGTGATGGATGACAACGGTGAATATCGGTCTGTGAACCCTAAGACCAGGCAAGTTAAGAGACTTCGAATTGAAGGACAATGGATTTATGAGGTCATGGATGCTTTAACAGAGAGCGTTGTCTTGCTTGACCAGCCTAATGTATTTACATACTAAAAGCAACAACGTACGTGTTCTGTTGAATAATTTGATTTGCGTTACGACTTGTTTTTCACTTACAAGTGTTCTGTTTTCTTATACTTGAAAAGAGGTCTCTCTTGCACTGCAGAGAATGGTGAAACATTTAAAATACCAGTAAATGCCCTTGGTTAATTCAATCATTAAGAATTGAAATTATTAATTAAATGAGGATAATATGGTAAATTTACATTTTTTTCATATTAAAAAAAATTAAAAATTAAAAACAAAATAAGATAATAGGTCCTACTTTTAAGGAACATAACTACCCATGTTATTTTTTCTTAATTCTAAAAATAAAATAAAAAATAAAACCAATTGACACATGCGTGATACTTTTTTAGCGGTTAACTATGTTCAGACTTGTATAAGAAACTTGCTAATCTTTTTGTTTTTTTTTTTTTTGGGCAAGAGACTATAAGTACATCAAGGGCATTGTGTTCTTTAATTGATTCTGGCAGTGGCAAAGAACATCTACTCTGTTAGATAGTGAAGATACGATAGACTCATAATATTTTGACGTGGGTGCTGGTCACATTGAGTGGGCATGCGGTATATAGTCAAGAATGAACAAGATGCATCCAACGGTTGGGCTTAAATCAAGCCAGGAAACCATCCGTTCGCTTGTGATGCTGGTGATAGAGCAAGAATTCTATAGTGAGGACTTTAGATAAGGTCCTATCTCTTAACTGTTAGATCAAATTAACCAATTTGATATGACAATTAAGAGAAAAAACCTCCTCTAAGGGCCTTATTATGGCGCTCACTATAGAATGGAGTTGGGCCTACGTATGCAAGTTGCGAAAACAATTAACTAAAGTCATGAATTAAGCAGCCAACCGTTCCCTGCTTCACAACTTGCTTTGAACCAATGGCCGCAAGGTAGCACACCCATCCGCACCTGATAGCTCCCTCTGTTCGGTGGGGACACGTGGCAGGTCCCTGCTCGTCCAGTGATTCGTGGACACAGCAAATCAAATTTAATAAAATAAAATAAATAAAATATTACAACAGAGAACCATTTCGAGAGCTTAGACAACACAAATAACTTGTACTTAAAAGTGACCATCCATTTCTCCTGACAAAACAAAGGATGAACTGCAGTACAATAGGATATTCACCATAAAACATCACATATCTAGCAGTAGTTAAAACATTTTATGTCGCTTTAGCCATCTCACGAATTAGGGAAAGCTTAGCCAGAAGACCACACAGCTGAAGGTAGGAGCCAACTCCATCACAGATTCTCATGTGAGCAAAACCTGTTTCCTGCAAACTCGCACAAGTAAAAGGCTTGTGAAACGACAAGATCTCACAGAGAATGAGAGAAAAATCTTCGAATAGTGTACATACCTTCATGAATTCCAATTTCAAATACTCAGCCATATCATAATTCTTTATGATACGGAAAAAGGTAGTGATTATGTCAGTTGGGGAGTAGCCCAAATCATAGAGCTGCTTGAGACCTGAACAAGCATCATCAAATTTCCCTTCAAGCACATTGCACACCATATTCTTTACGTGCAATGGATGAGGCTGGTCACAGACCTGAAAAACAATAAACATCTTAGAGAATTACCAAATAACATACGAAACAAATGAGCATATCAAGACATTCATTAAAAATATGACCTTGAAAACATTTTCTTGGTTGACAAACCGGAATCCACTGTTTGTAGCTTGCAGGTTATTCAGTGCCTGCCTCATATCACCATCAGCAGTGAAAATAATGGCTTCAAGACCTTCTGGAACATAGGGAACCTTCATTTATAACAAACACAGATGAATTATACACAAACTAAAGTTTTCGAAACAATGTTTATACACACGGCAACGGTCGATTAGCGAAGCAACTTCTTTTTGAATTTTTATCATTGTTAATAACCTATAACTTGGCATAAGCCTCAAGATTAAAGCGAGTCTCAATACGTTAGGCATAGGGTTTGGAAAGTAGGTTGAATCCCTAGGAAATAAAAACCTCTAAGCCCAAGCATAGAGATTCATTATTAAGCTTCATCTAAGCTTCATCTAAAGGCATAAGTATCAAATATCTTCTCAAACCTCAGTTCTTGGGGTGACATCAATTAAGAGGCCAATGAAATATCAACCTATAAAATCACTACTGAGCAAGCACTGATAGAATTTAGAAAGACAACCAACAGAAGTTGCAAAATTCTTTCTTCCATTCTTTTGGCATGATACCACAAACACATGCATTAAGACATGTTACCATGTTGTGCAAAAAGTGTGACACACCGACAGAGGGAAGGATCAAGAGACCATATACACACATCAGTTTACTGAGTAAACGAAAAACATTCTGACAAACAAAAATAGCTAAGCAAGGTCGGCGTTTCAGGCTCTAGCAGTAGTGGGGCACAGAAATGAAGCTGAACAGATAGTATTAAAGAAATTGAATAAATGTAAAAGCTGGAATGTGACAGAGAATAAAAGAATATACTCTGTCTGATAAACTAGTGGCGACATAAAAAAAATTTCTTCCAACCTAATAGTAAAGTAAAATTGAACCAATATATTCGGTGATTATCATTCCTTTGAAGCTAATTGATGACAGTATGCAGAATAGACATTACAATGTAAATAAATTTCTTTACCTTTTCAGCTTGAACCACTATCATTAGGCGACCAAGTATCTCCTGATCAGATAATCTAGAAAATCGGACAAGGGCACATCTACTCTGAATAGGCTCAATAATTTTGGAAGATACATTGCAAGCAAGAGCAAAACGAGTGGAATTTGAATATATTTCCATTGTCCGCCTCAAAGCTTGTTGTGCTCCAGATGTCATACTGAATTGTGTACAATACACAGCCAAATAATTTCCAATACCCACCGTCCAAAACAAAAATTAATTTAGATAAAGTAATGTAAATAAGAATGTTGTATAAAAAAAATAAAGAGATATATGTGTTTTGGGATGAAAGAAATATACCAAAGAATGAACAGTCATGCAACAAAAAGTAAAAACACATAGGGAGATGGATAAGGGCAGTTTGCAGTTTGTTGCACATTACTTTCATGGGACAATATTATCAGGATTACCTGTCAGCTTCATCCAAGATGACAACTTTATGCCGCCCGGGAGGCAATGTGACTTTCTTTTGAGCAAACATTTTAATTTTGTTCCTCACAACATCTATTCCCCTAGACAAGAAAGCAACAATAAATAGTTTATGATAAATACCAATATTTTTTATAAATTGAATTCAATAAATACTATAAATGTACTCACCTGTCGTCTGATGCATTCAGCTCTAAAACAGCCTCCTTATAATTTGGTCCCAAGAGCTCATGCGCAAGAGCAAGTATACTAGTGGTCTTACCAGTTCCAGGAGGACCCTGAAAACAATAAACAGTGATCAGTAGAAGCATAGGTCCAGTGACTTGATGCAACTGAAACCTTCCAACTTAGTCTTTTTGCTTAACAAGAGTCTGTACCCCAAACACAAAACACCCTCCTCGACCGAGTCTAACAGCTTTCAGTATGAAGAAATCTTTTCATTTTTCGAAATCCCGAACAAGATAAGACAAAAGTTTTAACACTTTAACCTCTCTTGTAAGCAATCCCCATGTTAAATATCACAGCCACAAGTTTCTGTGGACCTAGGCTCTTAAAATCACCGAAGTTGCCTCTAGCATATACTTCACTTCCACTACGCATTAATATAAAAAGTTCATTAAATTGATCCAAATTCTAATAAGCTCGGTTCACACTTGCTGAGCAGGCAACAAACTTTTCCCCAATTTCAAACCTATGAATACCCATGGAATGTGAGAGCACAAGCAACAAACTTTTACCAATCTTCTTTCCACATTTCAAAATATTATCAAAATTTTACAATTTCCAATCAACAAATGCTAAAACTTTTACACAATCAGATTATATATTGAATATTCCCCTAAGGTTTAGGGTTTAGGGTTTAGTGAAATGGATGTGTTGGGTTTGTGCGCAAGTGAGTGAGAGAGCTACGTACGGCCAAGATGAGGTTGGGCATGTTGCCGTCGCGAGCGATGACCTGGAGCCTAGACACGGCGTCTTCGTTGCCCACAATGTCGGCGACATTGCTGGGCCTGTACTTCTCCACCCATGGTATGTCGTAGGCTGATGACGAAGAAGAAGAAGAAGATGACGCCATTGCGTTGTCGTTTTTCTGCTGGCTGTGAGAAAAATGCAGGGTGAACGTCGCAAAGCGAACAGCCCTCTTTGCCGCTCTGCTTCGGTTTGGAGGAGAAAAATAGTCCTTCTGCCGTTTACGTGTAAGGGCCTGGACAAGGTCAAATTTCAATTTTGCCTATGCTCTGTTCTACTTATTTATTTGTTTAAAACCCCTGTGCTTTTGATATTTCTTTACCCAACCCCAATTCTTTGGTTACAATTTTATTTTACCAATGATATTGTCAATATTAAAATATTTGTTGTGTAAAATCTGATATGGGGCTCGGCCAAAACCCATTTGCTATCTGGGTATCGGGTCTGTCCATTTTTCCCACTCTCAAATCTTGATTCGTAAGAAACCTGAAAATAATTGGGGACACTGTGCCTCAGCTGTAACAGGAAAACCCCACAGGCTCTCTTCTGTTCGCTTTTGGGTTTCTTCGAAGGTATGTTTTACTGTATTTTATTTTGTTTTGCTTGTAGAAAATATGGGCCTTTCGCAAATGAAGGTGAAATGGAATTGCAGCTGAGAAAGTCTGTAAATCCCAAAACCCAGAAAGCTGAAACTTAACTGCTTGATGCCCCTTATCCCCTTTGAGCAATGGGTTTACTAGAAGATGTTTAACATAAATAAATAAATGCTAATTGAAGCATCTTCTATTCTCATTTAAATTTGAGGTGCAACGGTGAAATGTAAACAATTTGGGTTCATGGTTTCATTTATTTTTCCTGAATGGAGTTTAGCTTATATTGAATAGAACCCTACATGTAGTTGAACCAAAAAGGATGGCTTTAGTGAGTTTTAGTCAGATTGCCATGGTGGTTTAGCTACCCACATTTTGTGGTGTTTACTGAAAATTCCTTCTAGGTTGTAAATCATTCATATGATGCACCATGGATGTGGCCCTGTGGAATGTATATATCACCACCTAAAGGTCATGTCCTTTTTAAAATTTTATGTTCATAGTTTATTGAAATTATTATGTGCATATTCTAGTCACAACTGTTCGCTATCTTGCTTTAGCATTGATAGCTTTGAATTTGTGTGAGGTAAGATGGTTGCCCAGGTGGAAACCTAGCTTTGAAAGTTTCTAACTGGGAGAATTTTGGGCTGTTGTTCAGGAGTTTTGGTCTGTTGAAATGTGTAACTATCAACCTTGGGAAGAGGATTCACTTCAAAGTGAAGATTATGTACAAAGTACTGCAGAAGGTGTAGATGTAGCGGAGACAAGGTGGGGAGCCCGGCTGGCAATGTTGGAAGCAAGGGTAACTCGAGTGGAGGCTAGGGTGGAAAGACTTGAGGCAAAGATGCTTCATCTGCAGAAGGGAATGCGTGTTGTTTGTGCGCTGTTTCTGGTTACTCTCATGTATGCAATATTCAAGTAAATGTCATTGTCAGGGATGATCAGATCGTTAGTTTTCAGTTGTATGCTCTATATTTCTGTGAGACATAGATAGTTGGGCATATGCTGATTCTCTGATCTGTTGAGTTTTCTTGCAAGTAATGGTAGGTTTGGAAAATGGTTTTTTATTTTATTTTCCTTTTTCCCTCTTATGATGCTGTAGAACTACATTTTAGCCAGGCAAAAACAGACCAAAGGTCCTTGAATCAATTTGTACATTGAATTCTACTGTCATGATCTGTCAATCTGTGTATCAAGATTTCACTGTTATTGTTAGTCTGTTTATCAAGCTAATGAATTTTGCCAGAGTATAGTCATAATTGTGCCTCTGAGTAATGAAATTTTATGCCTGAGTATACATTATGGTAGCAGGTGCAATGTTTGTAGTTCCGGATCAAGTATATCACAGGTTTAACTCAACCTGCTTAACCAAATTTAGCATTCATCGTCGGTGACTACAAGCATCAAGAGTGCTGCAAACCTGTGATTCCTGTTTACCAATTTGATCTATCATCTTTGCTATCAGAACATTGGAAATGTGTGGGGTTTCATCACTGGACTCTGGAGGTTACAACTTACAAGTCCGTCAAGACTTGCAGCATTGATTGTTTGCCATTTCTTTTAATTACATATATAAGAGAGAGAGAGAGAGAGAGAGAGAGAGAGAGAGAGAGAGAGAGAGAGAGAACTTCCACTAATTTAGCAAGATAAATTCCATTCTTACAAAAATCAGAAACGTACAACAATCCTTCGTAAAAATCAAAGTCTGAAACTTGATAATAATAAATATCGAAGTCTGAACTACAATAAAAATCATAGCATTCCAAACACATATGCCATGTCAAGGGGGTGTCCTATCACACATCAATTCAACTCTCAATTGTCTCATTTTCAGATTCACTCTCGACCGTTTCACTAGCTGCCATCCAATCCGATCTTGATGCTCTAATGTTCATTAATTCTTCTGCACGTTGCTCATCTTGTGCGGGATCTTGCATCCTTGAATTTGCTAAGGCCCAATCTTTCAAGCAAATTAATGCTTCTATTGTATTTGGACTCACATTGGTCCACTTCTCAGATAAAACTTTACCACCTGCACTAAAACATGATTCTGATGCTACAGTAGAAGCTGGAATAGTTAGCAAGTCACGAGCCATAAGAGAAACAATAGGATATAATGATTGATTTTTTTTCCACCAACCCAAAACACTAAATTGGTTATCGTCAGCAACATCTATTGTTGGTAAATCAAGGTAAACCTCTAACTCAGATTTGGTGGTGGAAGAAGATGAAGATGATAGCTTTGCCCTTTTCAAACATTGCATAGAGAAATTTTGCATAATAGGGACAACTATAGAACCAGGAGTTTGGCTGAAGGTGCTAGAAGTTACATTTGCAGACTGCACATTTTGACCCACATAAGACATTACACTCCTCTTGTAGACATCAAAGAATTGAAATAACAAAGTCTTTAAAGCTAAAAGTTTTGAGTCAATGGTTAACTGATCAATACCTATCATATTTAACCATTCACCAATTGCAAATACTTTAAACCTAGGGTCCATAATAGTAGCAAAGCAAAACACAGTAGGAAACTCTTCCCAATATTTATCAAATTTTGCTTTCATTTCAGTCAAAGCATCCTTAAAAACAGAAAATTTAGAATATGCAGCAAATGATGCATGAATATCTGTTAAACAACTAATAACACGACTCGAAGTAGGGTAATACACACCAGAAAGTATCTTTGTTGAAGAATAAAAAATTTGTAAAAACCCACTAACAAGTTGAGCTATTTTCCAATCTTCTTCATTAGGAACTTGTAAATTGCAAGAAAGTGATTCATTTATCTCTTTAACATACCAATGCAAAGGGACTTTATACTTTATAGCTAAAAGTAAAAGCTCATAGGTGGAATTCCACCTATGAGGCACATCATTGTCTATATTTATCTTTTGCATATTGAAATCAGTACAACATTTTACCCAAATTTCATGTCCCTTGTTAGAGGAATTCATGCTACGTACAATATCAGTAATTTTATCAATAGACGGAGATAAAACTTTCAGTCCATCTTGCACAATCAAGCTCAATATATGACAACAACAACGTACATGAAACAACTTTTGTTGCACAGAATCAAGCAAGAGAGATGATGGAAGTACACTTGCAATTGAATCATTATTTGACGCATTATCTAATGATAGAGTAAATATTTTGTTGTGAATGCGCCAAGATAACAATTCATCAAATATATGAGTTGCAAGTGACTCTCCGGTGTGTGGGTACTCAATCATTTTAAAGCAAATTACCCTTTTATTCAAACACCAGTCTTTATCAATAAAATGTGCAGTAAGTGACATGTAACCCCTTTTTTGCTGTGATGACCAAACTTCAAAAGTTAAACAAAGTTTTGAATCAAGTTTTGCAAAAAGAGCATGCAAATCACTCTTTTCTTTACCAAATTTTTTCATCACATCTCCCTTACATGTAGAAGCTGAAATTCCTCTATATTGAGGATAAAATGCACGCTGAATCATGCCTGTAAAATCATGGCTTTCAACAAATTTAAATGGCAGTTCTGCTCTAACAATAAAATCTACAACTTCTTTACGAGCAACAGCATGATCATAAGCAAAATTTGTCAAATTTCCAGCAACATCAGCATTTAATAATACATGACCTGGACTAATCCTAGCTTGTGCAGCTTCATGCTCTTTTAAATGACGGGATAAATGACTAGTACCACTCCTAGGACTACCAGCAAACAAAGTATTACAAATAACACATTCAGCTTTAAGTACTAGTTTACCATTTTCAATTTTATTAACCCTTTTAAAATAAGACCATACTTTACTTGTTAAACTGGGTGCACTTGCAGGTTTATTGTTAGGTGGAGTGGTGGAATCATTAGCAGGTTCATTCACTGTCCCACTAGCATTGTCCATCTTGATTGTCTGAGGCTGCCAAAATTCAACAAAATAAAAAAAAGAATCAGTATATATCAAGCTGACAAAATCTAAAACCAAAGCCTGCAATTTGAAAGTTTCAAAAATATCCCATCCCAAGCTATTTACCCAATTAATTAATCACAACACAAAGAAATTGTCCAAGAGGTTGAGTGTTGTCTCCGAAAACAAAAGCAAAACAGAACAGTTCGACGGAAAAGAAAATAAAAGGAACAGAAATAGGTGAAGCAGCTGCAGCACTAAACCCAACAAGTAGAGAAAAAAAATAATAAAGTATTAGATTTCACAACCAAAACAAAATCTGTCAAACGGCAGATTACTCATTTCAGTCTAAACATCTCAAAATTAATGGAAGAAAAAAGAAAAAAATATCCAACCTTTTTGGGTGAAATTGCCCACCCAAAGTTATGGATGGAGGTACAAAGACTCAAAAATTCGACAAGTGAGTTAAGCTGAAATTGTAGAAGAAGATGATGAGTGTGGTGTGGAGAGATGAGCGACAGCGGCGAGGTTAAGACATAAGCGTGTTTCTGCCTAATGCACTTCTTTTTAATGGTTGGGATAAAAGTCAAAATAGCCGTTACTGAACCCAATTCCCAACATTGACCACCAAAAAACAAAAGGGGGACTTTGAAAAAATCTAAAGGAGAGAGAAATTTTGTAAAAGAAGCCAAAATTGACAAATTTGTCCTTATTTATTTTTGGATTTCCTAAGAAATCATTTACACTTGCATGTTTTTGATTTAAAAGTTGAAAGGTTTTTCTGTCTTTTTTGAAAAAACTTTGGCTTTTTCTAAAAGTGAAATTTTTTTTATGGCTAAAACCTAAATTTACTAAAACGAAAACAAAAACATTTTAAAAAAAAACCTAACTCCCAACTCAATCCAAGTGGGCTAGGCTGGCTTTCGTGGGCTCAAACGGGCCAGATCAAGCTCAGCCCATTAAACAAAGGGCTAGCCAGGCTCATGGCTCATGGCTTATAACAGGCCGGGCTTTTCTTCAATGGGCTGGGCAGGCCCAATCAACTCATGGGCTCGCAAGCCAAATAGTGACCCATAATTTTACGTCAGATCAAGTAGGCCTATAAAATGGGCCGGGCAAGGCATGTGGGATGGGCATTTATGGGTGATCTAGGCTGTCTTCTGTGGCTCACATGGGCTGGGCCTATGGACCAAGTTGGGCTTTAGACATCCAAGCTCAAGTTTAGTCCACTAAATAATGAGTCAACCCAGCCCATGCCACATACCGAATAGGACTTTTCCTCAATGACCCAAGGGCTCGCAAACCAAATAATTGTTAAAGAATAAAGTCTCACATCAAAAACTTAACAAAATAAAATATAACATATAATGAATGATTCCACTACTAATTGTACTGAGACCTTTTATGATAAAACTCCACACCTACTGAGCTTTGTAGGTGGTTAAGTTGGGAACAATATCAGTATTATTAGTAGTAGGCCGCTGACCCGTCTATCTGAATTTAACATGGTATCACAACGGGTTGATTAACTGGACCTGAATTGGGCCTTTACCCTTACCCAATATGTGGTGTTCACATGTTGAGCTTGAATGTTTACTCATACCCCTTACCCAATATGTGGTGTTCACGTGTTGGGTGTAAATGATTAACTCTAATGTGGACTTGGCTCCACGTGTAGCCCACTATGTGGTGGTTCCACATGAGGGGGCGTGTTGAAGAATATAAGTCTCATGTCGGAAACTTGACTAAATAAAAGTAAAATATATAATAAATGGTTCCACTATTAATATCACCGATGCCTTTTGTGATAAAACCCCACCTAATGGGCTTTGTAGGTGGTTAAGTTAGGGACAATATCAATGTTGTTAGTAGTTGATCGTTGGCCTATCTATCTGAATTTAACAATAATAACCCTTTAATTTTATGCCCGAGAGAGTATTGACAACCCATGAAGTGAATTATTTATAAGAACAAAAGAACCTTCCTCAAGAATCAGCATCTTCTGCCGTGCACAGGATTCGACTTAATTCTTGGAAGCCAACAAATCAAATTTTGAGAATGCAAGTTCAACAGCTCCGAGCCGTAACATACTAGTAGAACAAGTTTGTAGATAATACAAAGAATGTCTACGCTCCAGAACTAAACACAGAATGCTAGGGAACATAAGAACACAGTTCATACTGCTAACATATTACAATCAAGTTCAGCTGGGCTCATGTAGCAATTGTAGTTCAACATTCCAACACCAATGACAAATTTACATGTAAATTGAGATTGATAACAAAGAGTTGATCAAAGTGTACAAGGCTCGTTTGATAACGTTATTGTTTTTTGTTTTCTGTGGCTTTTTATTTAAGGATAGAGAAGAAAACAGAAGAGGAAAATGGGACAAGGGACAATAGAGGATTTCTTTTTATAGTCTCCTGTAATCTCCCTCCTCTCTTCTGCATCTCTCTAATCTCTCATCTCCCTCTCTCCTTTCTCCCATATCTTTCTCCTTGCTCTCTTTAATTTACACAAAGAAAACAAGAGAAAAAAACGTTATCGAACGAGCCTTCACAAACTTCTATCCTTGAAATCTTGGTAAAGAATATAGTGAAATACAGCTTATGACACTAAAGTATTTCTCACAAACGAAATTTAAAAAAGTTACTCAACAAAGTTACAAGGGAAACACTGAATGTGTCTTCAGAAGCTCCAGCAACAGGAAAGAGTTAATGGCTTTTGACATCCTGCCAGTGTATCATTCCAGATCTAGTATTCCGAAATTTGAGAGAAGGATCTTTACTTGATCAACAAAGTCTGAGCCAGTTGCATACTCTGTTAGCATTCCAACAGCAAAACCGAACATTGCCCATCTGTAAAGCCGAAAAAGGAAATAACAGAAGAAAGAAGATCCCAGATCAAGAAACCAAATTATGTCAGACAAGTACACAGACCAATATAGGTAAACACAATTCTTCTGTTCATGGAAACCCAAGTAGTTTGGTTGAGGATTAAATAAGGTTGAAAAAATCAGCATTGTAATTCATTTGAATGCCAAGTTAGGAAAGCATGTTGGTTCTACATAGAGGAAAAAAACTTGCCTATCCCATTTTCATACACCTTTCTCTCTATCTCTCTTCACATGATCATGTGATGAGAGAGATAGAGAGAAAGGTATATGAAACATGTTATATGGAAGTTTTACTCCTACATAGGGCTGTTGCATATGTTATTGATTTTGTTTAGGTGAAGATTCCTTAGAAATGTTCACAAGTAAAATGTAGATTCCTTGGAAGCTGTTGTCAAACACCAATTCACAGAAAGCTGATCAATTGAATATACTTCCCATTCCCAAACATTTGAATCCAGGTAAATAATGAATTCTTCTTATTTTATACTTCACAAAAGTTCAATTTCCAAGTTATTTCAATGTTCTTAAAAAAGTTATCCTACAGCATTCAAACCCTGGCCTATGTCCCAAAAAGAGAAGAGGGATAAATCAAAATTACATACTTTTGAAGTCAAAATGAGTAATCATTCAGGGAAAGGATAACTGATTTGGTTGGCCCTTTTGGGGATGTGATTTTTAGGGTTTGCTATCTAAAATTACTGATTTGGTAATTCACAGTTGAGCCATTTCTAGTTTGCCAAATTGTTCACTCCTATGCAATTGTAGATTAATTTCAATTGCATAATTCCATTCCAATCAAAACCAAGACAATCATAATAAACTTCAAAAACCCAGATAAGCCAAACTTCAAAGCCAAACTCTCTCAATAGCATATATCAAAGCTTGAATTACCTTCCATTGCTAATCTCATTCTTCCCAACAAAGCCAAAGAATGGGCCCTGATTGGCAGCTTCAAGCTTCTTCTGCTTGAAGTACTCCTGAATCTCCTTAGCCTTCTGCCTCTGAAACTCCAAGGTCACCACATTCTTATTATCCTCCACCATGGTCAGCCCGGAAACCGGAGCTGGCTTCGAAGGCTGCTGCTGAGGCGGAGTAGGAGCCTGAGGAGAAGGAGGTGTTGGTTTCACAGGAGAAGAAGGTGGGGAGGGTTCTCTAAGAGAAGGAGCTGCAGGTCTTCTTATAGGTCCTTCAGTTTGAGAGCTCCTTATGGTTTTTACATAATAAGGCTTGGCTGAAGAAGAGAGCTTAAAAGAATGATGATTAGAAGAAGAAGAAGAATGTGAAGAAGATGGGGAAGATGATGAAGTTGAGATTTTGATGCAAGGGAATGGAGATGCCACTGACATTTTTTTTGTTTCTCTTTCCTTTTTTGCTTGCTTTCTTTCTTTCTGAGGCTTGTTTTTTCTTTCTTATTTTTCACTTTTCTTTATTTTGTTGTTTGGTTTTGTTGGACGATTTTGGGTCTGATGTGTGTTATCTCATCAAATCGATCGACTTCAACTGTTTTGTGGATAAGGTGCGGCCAAGTTGCAGTCAAAAGGAGATGGCTGGCTTCTAATTCTAAAGTCAGTTGGTCTGGGTGAAGCAGAGAAGTCAGGTTGTTGGCTGGCTTGAGTTTGGCGCCTAACGCCTTCTCAAGCATGTGACAGACACGTGTCCATTCCCTTTCTCAAGTAGGAGTGGGGATTTGAACACACAGCTGTGCACATTAAGGCTCTTAATCACTTAAGTTACAAGGTTGTTTTGGTTTATGGATAAAATGTTGTTTTATCCGAAATTTTGCTTTGCTTGCCAAAGTAATTGATTATGATGGCGTCCAATTAGCTATTAATTAAGGGATATTTATCACAAAACGTTTATAAAGTTCACGAAACTATCAGCTTTGGTTTTCTATGCTAACAAGTAACATAATCCTTCACAGAATCGAACGGCAAAATACATTTTTGATGTGATGGGGTTAACGTGAAGGAACATCTCAGACAAAAAGAAAACATAAAATGCCGAAGCTGATAATTTTGTGAGCCCCTAAGATGTTTTGTGATATAAATTCATAACTAAATTTGTACTAGATGCAAATCTGTGGTCTAATAGAGAATGATGAACCTGCCGATCCAAGAGAATGATGAACCTGCCGATCCAATAACTACAACCGTATTGACTTTGGTACAAAATACAAATTCGTACTGTGCACAAATTGCTGTTTGAAAAACTCGTTTTGAAACACATCTCAAAGACTATCAATCGTGTGTCCAGTCTTCAACTATTTCAGGTACTGATTAGTGCGAGACTGACTGTTAATATTCAACTTTTCAAACATTGATTACTATTCAACGCATTGTACTGTGCATCTTCCTTTCTGCCGTCGTATTATTTAGCCAAAACAGTCTTCTTTTTCACAAAGGCTCACGTACCTTACCTTACCCTTCATTCAATTTAAAAAATCTCAGTATTATTTATCAACAATTAACCAATTCTTCAAGGCTTCAACTTCAAGCCATATCTATTTCCAAGATAAAAGGTCATGAACTCTGCCTCAAGGAAAAAAGGAGGCCATTGGAAAGCATACATAAATGCATAACTTGTCATCTCACACTGTTTATGCATCAATCTCAGTGGAAAACCAGAAAAAATATACAAACCACAAGCATGAAGTAGAGTGGAATAAAAGAAAGATGTGGAGCAAGGACCATGTAGCTCAAGTGGTCATCCGAGGTCTTAAGTTTAATTTCCCCCTCCCCCAATATCGCTTGTGAAAAAAAAAAAAAAAAAAAACAGGAAACATAAGGAATATGCACAAACCACGCAGAGCGTGAAAATTTTCCTTGCACGAAACACATTGACAAACTCCGAATTAAGAAATTCGATAGCTTCAACAATCAACATTCAACGCCTCTGAAAACCAGTTTGTATCCGGGTAGGTTTTTTTTTTCTCCTTTGTAGTGGATTCTGCATTGAAAGGGTTAAGGGAAGAAGGAACCTTTAGTTTGGCATTCCATATTCCATATTCCTCTTCCTCTTTTTGTTTTCTATTTGGCATAATTTATATACGACATAAACAATTTGGTCCTTAAAACAAGAGCCGAACTAGTGATTTGAATTCCCATTTTACAACATATGGATAAATTTTAGAAGCTCTGACAGTGCAACACATCGGTATTATACACTTCAAGTCAATACAATATTCAATTCATACATGAGTAAAGAACTTCATATCAATCTCCCAGTTTCGTTTGACAGGTTAAACATGAGCAGCAGCAGTTTTACTTTTAATTGCGCATGATAGTGTTCACAAACAAAGCCACCACAAGTAAAACCCGTAAGCGAATCCTCTATATCACACCGTTACAATACATACCACACAAACACTCAAAAAGAATATAAAATTTGACTGCGCTGGACTATGGGGAATAACATAATTCTTCTAAGGTTTTAGGAGACGAAGAGATTACTGAAAACTCATTAATTCCAAACTATAAGGAGGAAAAAAGAAAAAGGAAAAAACACACAAAGCATCTTCAATTTAAAAGAACATCAGATTTGTGAGTTCTCTGGATTATGGGGCACAACATCAGTCATTCTACAAAGGTTTTAGGAGAAGAGGAAACTACTAAAAATTCATTAAATCCAAATCATAAGGAGAAAAAAAAATTAACACATTAATTACGACAAAATAATGAACAATGCAGTCACACATGAAGGAGACTAGCAAACAAAACAATGTCCCCAAACCCAGAGTGACAAAATTGAAACCCACAGCAACCTGATATAGACATAAATGCTCAGTTGGCCGAACATAGTGAGAAACAGTACTCCTTGCTACGGTGGTGTTCTGCATGGACTCAAAAACCGCTTTTCTTCTTCCAGAAATAAGTAAATCAACCAAACAAGCTCTGTTAGCGGTAAGTTACCTGACGCATTTTTGCATCTAAAAGAGAGGTGAAGCTCAAATCATCATCAGGTAAAAGCCAAACTACATAATCACACATGAACAACTTCTTTCATTCCCATTGTCGAATTCATCATCTGATCCATCCAATTCACTGCCAATTTGATCATGGTTCCATCTCAGAAAGATATTTGAATGAAGTACGAAAAAGAAAAATGAAAAAGAAAAGAAACACAAAAATATGTACTCACTGCATCACACTAAATGCAAGAAAACATCTTACAAAATAATAAATAACGTATACAATGTAAAATTTAACCATCAAAATATGAGACAGGAAATAATAAACAAGCATTCGACAAGTATAATCAAGAGCACATTGATTGTAGTGAATCCTTGTTGCTTGTTTTTCATTTTTCTTCCTAGAAGTTGAGTGCTGGTTATTTATTTTGGCGTACTTGAAAAGTATCTGAAGCTGTTAATGGCACCAATTTAATATTATTTTCTTATTATGGGAAACGTGTACTTTTATCGGATAAAGTTGAACAAGATGTTCATAAGAGCTCAAAATTAAAAAAACCAGAAACACAAGAGGAAATAGCAATCAGCTTGTAGCTCCCAACCAACCAAGATGGATTAGCAGAAGCTAACGACCCTAAAAATCTTTGACATTGCATAGATGTTAAAAATCTAATTGTTTCCATAACAAAGCCACTTCCGCCACCTTGTCTAAGTCTTCAAATTTCTGTTGTTTCTGCTAGACAACCACTATATCCCAAAAGTATATGTTGCCAAGAAACAGGCCAATAATGTATATCGAGCCAACACTCGTCAGCCCTATTCTGCACATGGAGAGGTAGATACAAGTAGACTTACAGAAGCATAAAGGTACAGCCCACCACCCTATACATTGCAAATTAACAAGCAAATGGGGGATGCAGGATTGGATGTTTAGATCCCATATGCTCCTACAACCAAAGCTCTGATACCATATCAGATAACCACTGGAACTCAAAAGCTAAGTTATTAAAGAATGGACCTTATCAAGCCAACAACTTCTATCCAAACAATATAAAAGTAGGCTAAAACCACACATCTTCAAAGACTAACAGCCTTGTCATTAAACCCAAAAACTAAGCCACATCCATCAAGGAATAGAAATCTCTTGGCAAAACCCACACCACCATGAATGCTGGAAGCAACCCAACGCAAACTTGCATAGGACATGCAAAGGGATATGACCAACACTCTCCACTCACCTTGGCACATAATGCACCAATGGGGGGTTACAAGCAAAAGATCTTAAAACTCCTTCCTCTTTATTTTTCTCTCGATACTCTTGGACCCCTTTATCACAATTAAAACTAAGCACAAAATTTATCTGCGCTGAAAAAAAAAAAAGGGCCGATGAGACATAGTAATCTTATCAGTCAAAAACTTCAACAAGCTCAATCATAACACCTTTGCTGAATTCTTATAAAGTTTTGTAACCAACTTATAAGTTTGTAATCGTTAACTTGCCAATATTGGAGATTCATGGGGATCAAATAAATAAATGTAGCCTTAGTTCAAGCACTAACAACCCCATTGATATATAACTTCTATAAATTGTCATGAAATCGGCCTTGATCACTTCCCAACTACACTCAAAAACTACCCTCGAGGTATATCCTTACCATAATCAAACACATCCCTTCTGCTTCATCCTCCTGAGGAAAATCCAACCTTGTAGCTTTCTACTCACTAATTGGACACCCATCTAAATACCACCCTAAATTTCACCCTCTCACATACGCATTGATATCGCTTTAAACATTATATGTGCGAGGTCAAAGATGCATTAAACATCAGAATATCAAAGTTCATCAAGAGTGATTCAACTGTTATATTCCAGTAGTTGGGAAAACACCCAACTAGAACCCAGAAATGAGGATTAGTTTCTGGAAAGCCTGCAGTTGTCAATACATAGTTGACTCTAAATGTGCCTAATGGCCTAAGTAAAGATAAATTTAGGAAATTGTGATATGTAATACTTAACATAAAATTTTAAATACCTGGGCTCAAATTCCCTGATCTCAACAAGCTCACTCCCGCAAGTATCTGTCCACTGCACTTTCCTCCTTTCTGCATTATCAGGAGTGTCACTACATGTTTCACTCAATGCTTCACGTTCATTAGCACTCTCAACAGAAACTGGAGTTCTTTTTGATGGCTTCTTCAGGCTGCTTTTGAGAACAACTTTTATTGAATTATGATCATCGTCAGTGTCAGCAGTGTGATCCTTGCCTTTATCAGAAACTAGAGACCCAGGCAAGATATCCTGCTGTTGGGCAGGGCCCACTTTAAGAGGAGATGGAGTGTCAAGCCCGGCGGAAGCGCGACCAAAGCAGACAAAGGAGGCGCACCCGCGGGAAAGTCGGTCCTTTGTGGAAGCCAGCTGGAGGTCAGTGTCAGATTCTTGGTCCACCAACTGGTACTGATTCCACGGCGAAACTCTCATGGGTTTATCTTCGTTCTTCTGACCCAAGAGAAGAAGGGCCAGGCCTTTGCTATACCCAGAAGCTGAAGATGAGAAGA